GGTTCATGGGGTCACGAAGAGTCGGACATGACTTAACGACTGAACAACAACAACAAATTCTAATTCCAGGGTTATTACAAACAGAATTATTTCTTCACTTGTCAAGATACTGTGGAACTCCTAGAGGATGCCTATTATTTCTTCTTATATTTAATGTGAAATTAAAACCATTTGACATTCTGGACGTAAAAGTGGCTGGAGCTGGACATAAATTGTATTATATGCTGATGATATAGTATGTGTTAAAGATAATTATTAATATCGTAAATCAAAATTTATCAATATAGTACATGAGTTTAGTGAATTGTCAAGTTAGTCAATTAATTTTATTTATGGAAATTGGTAGAAACTGGGGCTTTGCTTAGTATTTTAAATATATTGGAATAATTATCTTGAGAAATTACCATAAATGTAAATATATCAAATTGTTTATCTCAAATTAATATTGATAGAAACAGATGGTTCAAAATCCCAATGAGCTTATGGGGAAGTTAAACCTTATAAAAATGAATCTTACTTCAAGATGGATATATGCACTTAAGGGATTCCCATGTTCCCAAGGACTTTGTTTTCCAAAAATTCACCAGTGTTGGAGCTTCAATATTACTAGAACGAGTATGAAACTTTTTTTTAACAAGGTAAATGATTTTAGAATTAGTACTGAAATGACTATTCATATAAATTGTTCATTTGACACTGTAACAGAATCAAGACATAGATATTATTACTACTATTATTATTACTACTACTCATTGTTACAATATCACTAGAGTAATACTACATCTAAGTTGAAGCTGACCATACTTGCTTTATGAAACTACTGTATAGGCCTGGGGCACTAAGAACAAGTGGAAGTATGGAAAAGTTAACTCTTTTCTCACCTCTTGCTCAGCATCCTTTCTTACCAACAAATATTTTCTCATGTTTCCTGTGTTAACTCCAAAACTATATATAAGACTGGCTGGACATGTGAAAAACATGAGAAATATTATGGGCAAGAATTAGCAAACAGAGGACTGGTTAAATAATCCTTCCTTCTATCTATCACATTCCACTGAAAGTATTCTTCCATCACATACCATTAATGGGAAACATATTGGTGGGAAACCCTGCCCTTTATTCTACTCCTACCCTTGATTATTATGGTTGTAACATATTATATCCATAGCAGGGCACAGCATTTAATCAGTCTTGGCTGATCCTGAAAAAGCTAAACAGGGTCACATCTGGTTACAACTTCAGTGAGAGGCTACCAGGAAATCCTAGGGTTGTAGACTAGACTGGGAAGTCTGAAAAAAAAAATCTCAGGAGAAAAGAGCAAATCATTTCTGTAATCTTGCCAAGAAAGCTACATGGACAAATGCATGTAGTGACCAGGGGTCGAGCCCAGCTCAAGGGAGTGTTTATCTTTTTCATCTATTACAGTCCCCAGTTGAGTAACCTTTCCATGGTTCACACCAGCTTGATATTCCAAAGAGCTACGCAATGGTTTAGTATTTGGCCAGGAGCTATAGCTTACATTTGTCAAATGGGGATCATGTCCAGTTCTATCAATAAACACAGATGTGTTACTACTTGGTCTGGAAGGGGTGTTTTGTTATGGTTTTCATAACAGCCTGGCAACGAATAATTTAACACTTTAGCTGGAATTCTCACAATCATGACTCACTGTGATGAGTAAAGATACCCTCCTTAGAGTATATGAACAGTGGATTGTGGCAAAGAAGTTAAATACACGAATAACTACGCAGAGAGATAAAAGCAACCACACATTGACCAATTTACACGACAGCCTATGAGTATTAAAAACATTACCTTTTTTTTTTGTTCAGGAAGCAATAACGAAGCTCCAGAAGGCTGTGATTTACATATTTTTTCATTTGCAGACAAAATTTTGTATACCTGTTTCCCTGAAAAATTCAACAAAACATTATGTTTCAAGTCATCTGAACAAATTGGCCTATTATTTGCCAGCCTTAGGTTTGTGACTCAGAGGCTGATCAACAGCATCATGCGCTTATTCCCAATTTCAGAACATATAATTATCTCTTCAAACTATATATAGCTTACCCCATTTTATTCAAAATCTCTCTACAAAGAGGGAATGAGAGTCTAATGGCATTTGCACTTGATGTATGTATCCGAGGGTACCAATTACTTTGGATGAATCAAGTTTTCACAACTGTTACCATGGCAACCAAAAAAGGTTGGGGTGCAGCCTACAGCCAGAAACAGCTGTGGGATTTTGCAGCTTGCTGCCACTTTCCCCAGTAGCAGCCAATCAAAGTGCTGCAGCCCCTCTCTTGTCCTCCTGATACTGGCTTAGAAACTGGGGCAGCGTAGCAAGAGACGCCTTAAAGGTTGGGCTTCATGCACTGTGATGAGACCAATACAGAAACCTCTTATGAAGCTTCGCTGGCTTCCAACAGAGGTAGGAATGCTCATTTTTGTATTTTCTATGTCCAACGGTCCTCATCCCTGCAATCCCACCTGAGTTACCTTGTCTTCCAACTGAATGCTGAGAAGAACCAGGCTGTTCTTTTACTTTCCTCATTCCACTTGATTCCCTGGCTTCCACCCTTCCCTACTGCTCTCCGGATCACCGTTCCAGTCAGTTTCTTTCTTTCCCCATTTGCCATCACGTAAATGATGGTGGGGGGAGGAGCCATTTTTGCACCTTCCCCTCCATCTTGATGTTTCCTAACCTAACTAACAAAGCTTCTGTAAGGATTTCTTCTTTGCCAAAAGATTCTGCTCACTAGCTGTTGAACAATCCTGGCCTAATTTTATAGAAATCCTAGAAATGTGAGTGTCTTATAGAAGAACTGCACACCCTCAGTTCTTAATTCATTTCTTCCCAGTTTTCCCTATTACTGGCATGGAAACAGCTGCTTAACAGTGTCAGAGGAAGCGTTTGGCCACCTGATATTCTGTACCATGTCACTGCAGTACATTCTCCTGTGGGGTAAGAACATTATTTGGTATGGTCTGCGGTTTAGTTTGGGATGCACATTCATGCATATGTATTTTCACTGTTTTATTGACATAGGAGCAAGGCATTTGACTATGTCTTGTGACAAAATGAAATACTGGGTTAGACAAAATATTACAGCAGAAGCTACTACCAAAAGAAGTAGGGGGAAGGAAAAATGCATGGTTTGAGGTGATCCACATCTTACTGTGGGATGTACAACTTCTGTTCTTTATTCATTTCTACACTAGGAGGAAGAAAATCTATCTATCTATCTATCTATCTATCTATCTATCTATCTATCTATCTATCTATCTATCTATCTATCTATCGTAGGTATCTACATATATTGGTCACTTTGGTATTAAGGTGCAATGAATGTCCGCGACTTGCATTATCAATGGGTCATTTCCTATTTAGTTGAAACATGACCCTTCCCCTTCACAGAGACTGGAAAGACTTCCCAACAAATTAATGAACTGTCTGAATATTCAGTTCACTTTATTACAATCAAAGATCAGCCAAACTGGAATATTGCATAGGCTTCTTTGAATAGTTCTCCCTAGTAAGAACACCCTGATAATCTGGGATGAATATTCACTAAATTGACTCCAACTGATTTTAAAGCTTCAGAGACAAAAAGGTGCTTCACAATCCCACAAAAAGGTGCAGCTTCCATAAAAAGTTGTAACAGATGCTATGAAGAGCCAGTCTGGTCTAGTGGTGAAGGCACCAGGCTAGAAACCAGGAAAAGTTGAGTTTTAGTCCTGCCTTAGGCATGAAAGCCGACTGGGTGACTTTGGGCCAGTCACTCTCAGCCCAACTTACCTCACAGGATTGTTGTGGGAAAAACAAGAGGAGGAAAGAGTATTAGGTACATTCACCACCTTGAGTTGACATACAGGCAAAAATAAGTGGGATAAAAATATAATAATATAAATAGTAACGTTCACACTTCTACATGATCCTAAGCAGATCTTTGCCCTTAAATCCAAAACCTGCAATCCATTCACTGTGTGTGCATGTGTGCACATATATACACAGACACTTGTGGGATTGTTACCTCAAATATAATTTATTTTGCAATTATTTTAAATGTTCATGTATTTTTCACTAACTTTAGATGGGTGTACCTCTGTGCTCCCAAGCAAGCCAAAATTACTGATAGTTAATTCGAGACATACATTTCTAGATCCTTGATCAGTCATGTGAGAAAATATGACACCAAATTATTGTAGGGCATGTAAACAAATTCCATGAATGATAGCAAAGCAATGCAGAGGATGAGAAGGGAACTATTTTAGTTAAGAGATTTTCAGTGCCAGGATTTTGATCAGGCTCTAGTAAAGAGGGTTTATAACATACGATTAGAAAGAGAGTATTTTAGGGAACCACTATAAATAGGCTGTTGACATGGTCCTACCTCAGTAACGTAAAGAAAAAAAAATCTATCAGGTGCCTCGCATGTAGCAAATACACACACACACACACACACACACATTTACCTGCTACTACAGCTGAAGTATTTGTTGATTCAGAAAGCAGTTCCTGTTTGGTTTGTTTCCTGCTGGCAAAAGACTGTGGTATTAATATATATTTATATTCAAACATTATGAAAGAAGCTATAACTAGCATTGCACATAAAAATCTCCATGCATTAAGATGAAACATTTTTGCTCACCTAATTAACCAGAAAGCACTGTATGCAATAATACACATTATATATCAGCTAACCAGTCAAAACAGTTTATATGGTTAATTTTGCTTTAACATGATGGTCTCACTACAGATACATTTCTGTGGAAAATGTAACCTCTAAAAGGGGATCTTCAAAACTACAAGTTGGTCTCAGCTATACAGTCCTCAGCAACATTTCCACAATTCTTGGAGATTTCTCCTAAGCATAAATGCCAGTAATTGTGAAGCTTGTATGAAACATTCTTGGAATAAATGATGTTTGGGGAGTGACTGTGGGAAGACGTTGACTGAGTAAAGTGGCCTAGTATAAAATGCACAAGGAATTCCATTTATATTTCACCCTGCAGTTGATTTCCAAAACTGCAGGGTGAAATATAAATGGAAATTGACATTTGGCACTCAAATTCACTGCTCAGGTGAGTGAAACTGAATCCTTAATCATATGAACAAAAATGGTAGCATGTGTTACTGAGGTTTGTATCTTTAAGATTCCCACAGTGGTGACAGCACTAGTCACCTGTTCATGGTGGCAATTTAAATTAATCTTCCCCCATGCTATTTGGAATGTACAATGTATTTTTGGATTCAAATTTAAAGAGAATGCTCTTTTTACCTGGTAGAGTTCTGCCCTTGGATTCCTAAAGTGGTATCTAAAAAAGATTGAATTTAGCAGAATATAATATGCAGCAGAAGATCGTGCAGTAACCCTAGTTGCATATGTCATAGGGCTCATCCACATTTTGCTTGCCCCAGTATAAAGGCACCCCATTAACCATTTGTCACTTGACCTTGCCAGCCTTGATGAAGGCCCTGAAGACTTGCCTGTTGTCCCAGGCAGTGGAGCAGGATGGTATGTGAACCCATTAATATGTTGTATGGTAGACATTTATCTCCAGCATGGTGTTTTTTTATGGATTCTCATTTTTATTTTGAAGTTTTTAATCCTCTGTTAGCTACCCAAAGTTCCTTGGCAAGGGGACACCCATAAAAATTGAAGAAATAAACATGTAGGAAAGGAATACATGACATTGTCCTCAACCCACCATGAAGCAACCTCTGCCTATCTTGCTGTATGTCAAAAGTGGGAGTGGTGCTTTATAGTCTTTCTGTGGCACTTCATTTCCTTGAAGGCAATGTTTTTACTTCAACTGGCTAGCACATACTGTTGTGGGCACTTCCCCTCCCCTCTGGTCACTAGAAATTGCCCTCCACAGCTATTTCATCTTGGTCTGCTGGGCTACCTTCTCTTACAGAAAGCCTAACCACGATCTGATTTGCAAGGTACGTCTTAGGCCTTTTGGAGGCTACTTATGTGCTTTAAAACACAAGCGCTTTGGAAACACCAGTTTCTCTTATTTATGGATCAGGCATCAGTGTGCCACTGAACATTTCAAGAACTTCAGCTGATTTGAGTGGGTAATGTGGTAGCTACTTTTACCTGCTTGTCCTGCCTATCCTTCCACATCAGAGGCAATGCCATTTTGCCTACCCTAATGTCATTTTCCCTATTCTATGGAGTACCTCTGGATACTGTGGCCACTTGCTGCCAGCAGTCCCCTGTAGCACTCACCAGTTTAGGGTGAAATTGACAAATTTCCCCCAGGTGCCTCTTCTAGCTCCAGTGACAGGAAGAAGTATAAAACTGAGGGGGTGGGGGGGAAGCGAGCCTCTTCTCTCCCCTTACCTCTCTTGCAAAGCATGGCAAAAAGTAGCAGAAGAAGAAGAGGAAAAGGATAATGGCTGCCTTTGTGCCAATTCTCCAGTCCACAGAATAATCATTCCATGAGATGGGGAACTGATAGCAAAAGACCCTCAGATCTTCTGACTGCAGCAAAGGAGGTGTTTCCTACCCTACCTCTCTCCTTTCCCCTCTTCATATTCAGACAAAATTCTTATTCTGCTCAGGCAGAATAGGAAGTACAACCAGCAGTTCATTAAGCCGGTATACTTTAAACCGGCTCCTGCACCAAACAGCACTTTAATGTCACGTTGTGGACAAGACCAGAGGGTATGCAGAAGATACCCCTGAGATTCCTAAGCCAAATTAAGTTTGAGAAACATTTGGACTTGGAATCTGTTCTCCTCAGTTTGGCAAGATGATGAGGTAATTTGCACTGGAAAACTGGCACATGTGATTAGTTCTGTCCATTACTTCTCTCCTCCAGTTTATTTCCTGACAGAAGTTCATCCATATCACATTCCTATCCAGACCTATGTCAGCTGTTGAATATATAGTTTCATTTTTCTAAAGAACTTTAGTGGCAAAATTAAATAAAATGTTCTATATCATATTCCAAAAGTTACCAAGTATTTTAGAAAGGTTTGGCAGTTGTGGCATCTTGTCTATGTTGATGGCTTTGCTGGTATCCAAAAGAGTTGAATTTCTGCACGCAAGGTGTGTTTCAGGACTAGCAGTGTCTTCTTCTGAAGGCAGAAGACAATACAGTCAAGAATTCTGCTATTAAAATTCAGAAATTCCACAATGTTAACAATGTCTTTTTAAGTAAATTACTTCAGAACATTTCCCATATATTTCAGGGGAGCTAACAAATTGGTTGACAATGAGAGTATAATCTGAAGCAAATGTTTTACTTAATCCATAATAGAATTGGTTTCTCTCTAGGTCTAAGAAACTTAGAACAGGAATTATCAAATAAAAAGTTAAAAAATAAAGGTGATTCTGAATTCATGAGTTGATTGAAGGAGTATGCAGTGCATCAGCAAATTAAAAAGCACTGGGCAGAAGATTGTTCAATCTGCTTTCCTCCCTTACTGTACCAAGTATATCAAAATACAAGGTACTACTGCTCTGCTTTCTAATACAAAGACAAAAACATAGATACATGTGCATCTCTTTTCTTAATTTCTTCCCACAAATAATTAAACAAAAATGTATACCTAAGCCAGCTTCATCCCTGAATATTTCAGGTGATGAATAAGTACTTGTAGAATCAATAGTCTTGGTATAACTACAGTCCAGCGTAGTCTCCACATCCAAACAATCCAGCAAAAAGTCTGAAACTCCTGTTGGTAATGTCATTCCTGGAATTACAGTCAAAATGCAAATTTATCAAAAGACAGTTTTAACTTTGCAGAACATTGTACAGCAGGAAGGAATACAGAAAGATTAAATTTTATCAAATTGCCTACTTCTCCAATGTGGAACATACAACACAGAAAGGAGGGGTCCAAACTGATCAAGATAAACCAATAATCATTATCCATGACAAAATGGTGCTCTCTCTCCCAAATAAGTGTATTTAGCATCAAAGGAGAAAAAGCAAACTTAATTATAGTCCTGCAGTTGAGACAATACCAAATATATTCTCATAGAATTTGTATATATAGCTAAGTGTACATACACAAACATATATAAATTTAATTGGCATGTAACTGTTCTTAGGTGTATACACATATGCAAATACATATAAATCAGGTTAGAACCAGGTTTGTTTTTAATAAGCTATCATAAAACGTGGGCTGGTGGGATAAACATAAACTCCCAACCATTCAGTGGTCTGGTGAGTTGAGGTTATGAGCAACATACGAACAAATTACTGATTGACATTAATTAGCTATGGATGATTGTAATGAAATATCAATACCATTTACTGAAATGCTTATGTGGAATTGTTATATATGTATATATGAACATACGCTCTGTATGCTTTTGTTTTATTTTTTTCTTTTTTCACTATGTATTGTTTATTTTTTGTTGTTTTTGCATTCAATTAAAAAGCAAAAATAAACAAAGATGCTATTCAGGAAGAATATCAAGGTGGCTTGTGTGCTGAAGTACATTTTATTTAGTTGAGAAATTGTTATTTATATAACAAATAGTACTTATACATATTTATGTATTACAGATATCATATTTATACTTCTTTATATTTATATTATGTTTACTGATACATCTTTAGTATGGTTGAAGTTCCAAAAATTATGTTTTCCCCAAATAATATAACTTTAAATGACCGAGTTCTCTTAGATAAACTGAGGAAAAAATAGGCACTTTTTCTGGTTAATAATATTTTGGGGACATGGAATCTTCTTACAGATCATATTTTCAGGCAAACACAGTATGATCTGTTTTGAATGATATTCCAATCCAGTAAAACCTTAAAGAACCCTGCTATAGCAGACTTAGGATTCAATAGATAAAAATTTCCTCCAGACATTACCACAAAATAATCTGTTGTATCTGAGGAATTCCAGACTATTCACATAAATTACATTATTTGCGTAGCATCATTTGTGGATTTAATGGATACCTAGGTTTCACATACATACCCCTCCCCTCCAATTATTTGTAAAATCAAGTGTTTACTGTATTCATCTGATGCAGAGAAGTGGGGTATCAGTTTAACAAAAGAAATAACACTTATTACAAAGAGCTAGTGGAAGGTGCCATCTCACAATGGTGGCAGAGTTGGAAATTCATTTACAGTCCTGACCTCTACAAGCCCTCCAGATACAAAAGAGATATATCACAGACTACAAAATCACTTGGGTGTTTAGGATTTTCCAATTACTGATTAATCATACTGCCTGACTGGACATCACTAACATCAACCCTGGTTTTGGTCCCAGGCCTGGGGTTAATGTATTATTGTATTTTTGGGGCTCCTGTTCTGTTTGATTTGTGTTGCTTTTGAGACCATTTTAGTCCAGGCTGTCGTATGGTTTTATATTTTACCAGTTTTTATGGATTTTTTGGTTTTGTATGCAACCCAGAGTCCATCAGAGTTGGGAAGCTATAACAAATTTGAACAAACAAATTTATGAATAAACTACGTCAATCCTCATGAGAAAATCTGACATGGAGTGGGGATGTTACATATCAATGTTATTTTATGAGTCACAGATGAAAAACTAAAGCTTCAGGATATAGTCAAAGAAGAATGTCTATGATCCCAGTATATTTGGAACACTCACCTGAAGTAGTTTCACTATTTCTCAGGCTTTGTTTACTTGCAGAGGCTAAATGCAAGGAACCCTATGGACAACAATGAAAGCCCAGATGTCAAAGCAAATATCATACAAATTTCTCAAAAATTGTTTCCTGGAAGTGATCCCTTTACACGTTTTCTTCAGTTAACCTACCCAAGCTGCATTATAAGTTTGGGATAGCAAATTTTTCCTCAAGCAAGGATTGTCAGAATCATTCTTATGATCATAAGGCCAGTGAGTACAAAGAAGCCATGTTAACATTGGCGTACTGCTCATCATCCCATCTGGGTTTGTTTTCTTTGCCATCTTGTTCCTTTGTTTTGTGTTTTTGTACTGTTATTTGTTTTTAAATGTTTTTAACCATTTGTGAACCACCCAGAGTCGCTGGGAGTCAGGTGGCATATAAATTTAATAAATTATCATCATCATTATCATCATCATCATGAAGACTGGAAAAGTCACCACAATGCCCCAGGATTTCTCACATGTAAAACCACTGAATAAAATGCCTTCTCTATAGAGACTTATTTAAACCTGAATCTAGGTGGCAGCTGTTTCATGAAGAGTATCCATCACACAATGGTATTGTCACTATAAATTTACATGGAATCTATGCAGATGTCTAACTAATCTGACTTCCCACCACATTTATCCATGACCTAATAAATGCATTTATAAAATGTTAAACATAGTTTTAACCCTGGTTAATGTTTCATGGCCTAGTGGGTAGTTTAGTTAATTTAGGATTCAGTGTATTATGTGAACCCAATCTAAAATCAATGGGAGTCAGATATGATCAACTTTCTCTAATTACAATTAGAGCTGAAGTTGGTTTAATGGAATCCTGGATACTATCCTCGCCTGTGCCTCCACCAGTGAAATTTATTCAACTTAAGTGATTTCACAATAATATGTCTACCTTTGAGGGTGTTGTTTCCATGTCATTGATATCGTTGGTCACCTCCATACTTCTATATCCATTATAATTTAATTCAATGCTATTTAGAAAAAAAATGAGGGCAATTACATGTATATTTTCAGAGGCTATTTCAGGTTTTTTCAGATATCTGCAACCTCCTTCAGTAAAACAGTGAATGCATTACCCTTGTCCCTGAGCACTCATTTAATGAGACTACTGTTTAGTAATGAGTTCGATATAACGCTAATAAGAAAACTGGCCCAAGAACAGCATTCCCTAACCTAGTGTCCCATTGAGATATGGGACTGTAGTCCATCATCCCCAGTCACCGTGGAATTATACTGTTAAAGCAAAGTGATCTAAACCCTTTCATAGGATTAAAACAAAAAATTTAAAAAATCCTGAATGCCTATTATTCCGTACCTTTCTTCAGATGAAAGACAATCCATTTGAGTCACTTCAGAGTATTCTTGAACTTTTGGTAATGTTTTTGTAATAGTGCTTCTCATCTGCCCTATTGAGACAGATGTTACAATGGAAATTACTACAATAGCAGGACTAAGTAGGAGAAAAGGGAAGTTTTAAGACCTTCAGTATTATTAAGCTTATCTAAAAGTCTTGCATTTACCTAAATAATTTGTTTTGAAGTAAAGGGAGAATAACCATGTAGCCTTTTAGAAGCAAGAGTTTACTGCTTAATATTCACCCCTTTCCTTAGAGGTACTAAGTAGAGGACTATTTTTTCCCGAGTCATGCCTACAGAGATCATATTTGTAACATATTATATAATAAGTTCTATTTCTACTGATGTTGTGACCATAAACATATTGTCATTAAATAATCATCAGTATTTCTTCACATCCATGTTTGTATACAGGTTGGCAAAAACCATAACTTCATGCAAAAATACACAAACATGGACACACTTTTTCTTACTCCTAAGGAACATTAAAAAGATATATATTAAAACCATTCTAGAAAACCAGTTTAGAAAAGGCACCCATGATAGCTTAAAGAGGTAAGTAATTAGATAATTCATACCCTAAGAAACACAATTGAAAATACACGGTACTTTAAACAGCCATATGATACTTTACATCTGATTATTCAAGAGTTGTTAGTTATCTACCCGTATTTTAACGATTACGTTTTTTCCCCTTCCTAACTACATTTCCTATTTTAAATGTGTAATTTGTCAGCATTATTTCTTCTCCTTTTTTCTTGAAATTATAATAAAAAAATTTTTTTTAAAAAGCATGGTGCATTTAATTTACAGTGCCATTTATAAATTAACATCAAAGAATTCTAATTACAAACTGCAAGTTTTGTTGTATGTTCTTTCTGGCAATTCTTTGTATGACTACATAGAATAATGCCAACTGGATTTTTCCAATGGTCTGCTGCTCTTGCTGGAAGGAATGAGAAGCAGTCCCTCAATAGTCGTTATTCCTAGGCTGATGACAGAGTCCAATGTGTGAAGCCCCAGGCCAACTTAACAGATTTTCCTCAACAGGTTCTGATTTTTTCTAACAGGGCAAAAAACCAAAACTTCTGTAATTTAGTATGAACAAATGAAAACTAGGAAGAAAACTGCAAGTTAGATTAGTGCTTTCTAAAAAGAAAATGACTGGCAGCTCACTCTAGTAGAATTGTAAAACCACAAGTTACACACACTCTCTCTAGAGATGGCCAGGAACAACTCCTTTGCATTATTCAATTGACTCATTTTGCAAGATATACTATTTTCCCAGTTTATTTTTTTAAAAAATAGGAATACAGTACTATGTTCCTACTCACTAGACTTTTTCTTCAAAAGGAGAAATGCTCCCCCTTCTGGCTACTCAATTTAATTAATTTTGTAAGCAATCCACCTACACAGAAAGCTTTCATTTTTCCAAGTTTGGGCAGTTTTAAGGTAGAAGACTAATCAAGAAGTGAGTTACTATTCACAGATTGTGAGGAATTTCCTATATATACCCCACTGTAATAACTTCACTATGAGGCATTTGTTCCACTTCAAAATCTGTTGCCTAAATAAAACTTAATAATCCTCCAAGAACAAAGGAACACATAAAAATGGTACACTTGGTGAAGCCTATCCATAATCACATTTCTTGGTTAAACATTGCCAAAAATTACTGAAAGAGGAGACCTGGATCAATCGCCAGTTCTGAAATGAGGAACGGTATCTCTTTTGCATAAATATTATATTTATATGGTTTGAATGACAGATATTCCACCTTTAGTTCTGGATGTGGTCATGCTTCCCCAGGCAGAACTATTATCTGGGGTTCTCCTGGAGTCATAGCTGTTACCCAATGAGCATGTGGCACTGTGACTCCAAAAGCCTTCACACAGCTCCTTCTGATGCATTAGTTACAACCTCCCCTGAATTGGAAGGCCCTGCTCACAATCACTTATGCTTTCGTCATCTTTCATTTGGACTACTGTAATATGTTGTCCGTGGGGCTGCCACTGAAAATCACTTGGAAACTTTGATTAGTCCAGAATGAAGCAGCTTGGGCAGTATAGGGGGCCACTCAATTTACTCATATAATTCTACTGCTTTGAGAGCTGCACTGGTTACCAGTTTGCTTCTGGGTGCAATTCAATGTGTTGGTTGTTACCTTTATACCCATAAACCCTACTCCCAATTGTTTCTACTCATCCATTAAACTTGAAGAAAAAAGGTCACACTGGAGCCATTCCATTACAGAGCGTCATCTGAAGGCCTTTTCAGTTACTTTTTCTGGAATAACATATACCTAGACATCAAATCAGCCTCAGCCCTCTTAAGTTTTCAAAAAGCAGTTAAGAACTGGCTTTTTTCAGCAAGCCTTTGAGCCCCTTTGCAGGGGGAGTATTTGCATTGGATTGGCTGTTCAGTGGAATATTTTATTACATTTTTCTTTATATTACTATTATTATTGGTATATACACTGCTCAGAGTCAGTTATGACTAGAATAAATAATCAGTCTACCCATGTAACTAAAAATGAACCTGAAGGCATAGTTTCTTGATCTTAAAGTGCTTCTAGAATTCAGATCAGAATATTCTCCTGTTATAATGCTTCTTAAAAATGCATATTCAAGAAAAGTAAGGAAGTACCAGCCTGTGGACCAAATGCAATAGGTATGGCACCCACTTCAGGCCTAAGAAAACCCAGGAAGACCCTCCCTCCCCCCAAAACTCTCTATCTTCCCTCAAACTGTCCAGCACAAGGTACTTTTCTTCATCCAAGAAGTACCAGCCTGCACAAAACAAAAACTTAAATCTCAGTTTTACCAATATGAACATAGTGACTCTTTTGTAAAGCAAGGATCTTTAAAGCTCAAATCCTAGATAAGTGCACTCTTGTCACATTCCATCTTATCGTGCTCTTGCTCTAAAAGTTGTACAGGACTACAACTGGGGGGTGGGGGGTTGTTTCTCTTCCAGCTCAAAGGTTAGGTCACAATTCAGAGAGCAATCCACTTGCAGTTATAGCATACATGGCAAGGAGCAAGCCACAAAGTACATTGGGGAAGAAACTTCCTAATAAAAACACATAAAGCTGTGGTGTAACTAGAGCTTACAGTATTTCTCCTGATACTGTGCAATAAATGGCTCCTGACACCCACATGACTCTTGAAATCAGTTTGTCAGATTGCAGAAGGAAACTATCTGGAAAGTACAAACTTGAACTGTTCAGAAAATGTACGCATGGAGGTGAAATGGGGCCTCACCAACCCACCTGGCTCTTCAAAATAAATGTTAAGGCCTAAAAAGAAACTAACCATGATTGCCCTGCATAATTTTGTGGGATCAGGGCCCTACAAAATCAGAAGTACACAATTACATTTCCACTTCAGACCTTCACCATTAACACAGGGAAGGCCAGGTGATGGAGTGTGGCACTTTTGCCTCAACACTTACAGTTGCTTCTTCAGATCCTTGAGGGGGTTTCAGATTATTCTAATACAGGCAGTCCCCAGTTTAAGAACAAGTTCTGTTCCCAACTCTGCTTTAACTCAAATTTGTATGTAAGTCGGAACTTGTACTTACAAACAGGCTGCCTAAAAATGGCAGAAGGCGTTGTCCCTCCTCAAACCGACGAACCGCTAAAGCTGCACAATGCTTTCAGAAACTGCTGAAAACAGGCTGTATATTAAAAACGCATGGCTTCAGCGGTCCCTGAAAGCACTGTGTGGCTTCAGCAGTTTGTCAGCTCAAAGAAGGAAAATGCCATCTGCCATTTTTTGGAATAGGCAGCCTGTTCATATCTAGGGGTTGTCCTTAAGTCGGACACTCTTAAACCAAGGATTGCCTATAATTCTCTGGATCATGACTTGGGATACCAATAATAGACAGTATTCATTCCACCACAATCTATGTATATAAGCAGTTAAATGGACTAATTTCAGACAGAAAAAAGATTTGTTGTGAAACATCTTAAAGCTTAGAGCTGTATTGTCCTCCTTCTCTATTACACATCAATTGAAAATCACAACTGAAATGCTAATTGTGATGGAAACAGTCACAATATAAGGAATTTTATCATTCAACTATTCCCTTTAAGCTGTAGAGAAATGTTCAAACTAGATCAGATTTGCTTCAGCCTTCAGATCATGTAAAAGCTCTCCATGATACTCATCAACTAAATACAAACAGAGCTTATACATTCTGAAACATCACTCTAAAGAAACATACTTTAGATTTTCATAAAGATCTCACCCTCTTTCTTACCAACAGTTCTTTTCACCTGAGGATCACAGCTAAGCTTGGAAAGCAGATCTGGGTCCTGCTGGGGTGCTTTGGCTTTACTCTTCATTCTGCCCATTGCAACAGATGCTGTTTGAGCTGGCAACGGAGAAGCACAATGTATTTTCTTTTGGGTCTGCCTCTTCCGGGAATATGAATGTAATTTCATCCAATCCATCTTGTTTTCTTTTCCTCTACAGAATTACTGTCTAAAAGGAAAAATATAAGACGAGAGCTAAGTCAAATATAAGCCAAGGCATCCTTCTCAAGTCTAGTGCTCTTCAGATATATTGGTTGTCAATACCTGCCTTACCCAAACCACGTTGGCTCAGGAAGGCAAGAACCAAGATGCAACAAACCTTGACACAAAAAGATCATAAGGGTATCATCGTTTCAGAGAATAAAGCAGCAATCCAACTTAATGTGCCCCAAAAATGAGAAATGCAGGGCCCGACCTGCCCAGGAGCTGCAGCAGCTAAATCCAAATCTGCTACTGCCCATGATTAAGCCAAACATTGTTTCCCTCCAGGAGACAGGAATTTTCTACAGGAATATTATCTGTTATACAGACACATACTCAAAAAAGTATAATTAGATTTGCATTAATGTATGCTACACCCAGGACACGCTCAGGAATTGATTCAGGAGCTGAGGTACAAATTTAGCCAATACTGAAAGAAAAGTAGAGGAGCAGCTAAGAATCAGCAGGTAATGAGATGTAGATGTGGGAGAAGTAAGCATGCTTAGAATTAAGTAATAATTATAAATCCAGATCGGACCTAAACCGAGGTAATGGGTGTGACGCAGGTGAACACCCCGTCCTATTCTGCCCCCGTCCTTTCATTAACGCGATCGCCCGGCCTTAGGGAAGCGTAGCAAAAGCTGTCCCATACGTAACTCTGAAAAATACCAGCGAAAGGACGAAAGCCTCAACCTGACAACTAACGTTTTCGAGAGTTCCTACCTCCACAAACGGTTCCCTCACGTCACAACCCACCGTCGCTCTCCCCGCCCGCTGCATCGCCCTCCTTAACAACAAACAAACACGGCAGAGATTCTTCTCCCGCGGAGGGAAAAGGACTCCTCGGCGTTCTGATAGGCGGCCGCTTTCACCCAATCACCGCTCAGGACCGGGTCCAAGGAACCTATCGGAGCCCTCAACCCACTCGTTCCTTCGCCTCATTTGTTCAGCTTATGAGACGCCGCGGCGGTCGTCTTGGGAAGAATCTGCGGAAGGGCTCCGATCGAGTCAAAAGCTCGGCTGCCGATACTGCATTTGATTTACTTTACACGTGCGTGCCTTATCATGTATCTCCCTTCCTAATTTGATGCTTTCCAGATGCACTGGGTGACAGGTCCCATTCTCTCTCCAAAGGGAGATGAGTTTCGACGAACTAAGAGGGGGGTTAGCAGTTTGAAGAGTTCATTCCCGCCAACTAATATTGCACAGTTTGGCTTGTTTTGTTATCGTTTTACTAGTGTACGACCTAACGTAGAAGCCTGGCGTTTTTAATACAGTATAAAGACTGCTATACATCTTTATACTTCTATCTTATGTCAGTCAAGGAGACGCCTTTGTCCAATGCAAGAGACAGACCTTGTGTTTGCAGAACGTCTTATTTGTCCAGTAATGCTGAGATGTGATTGACCCCTGTAACCTCTAATAGTGATTAATGTGTTCGCTCTCCAGTTTCCCTTTTCAGATGGATTTGAAGATGTAGATTTCATGATTAAGAACCTGGCCTAATTTTTTAACTTTTCCACTTCTTTTCCCCATTTCCTGCATCTGGTACTCTTAGTTGGTTGAGTGCTGGAGTTCTGAAAAGCTTGCACTTTCTTTTGTATCATTTTGCTAAATATTAATGTAGCTACTGCTCAGCTAGAGATTTTGGGCTTTTTTCCCCAGGAGCAAACATGGCTGTGTGCATGTGAGAAAGAATACATCCTTGTAAGGTCAAAATACTGAACAATGGGCAATCCATATTTATTTACTTTTAAATATTTTAAGTATTTAAATATTTTTATTTAGATTAATTTATATATTTTACATTCCTCAGAAATATTTTTACTTATTTTTAAACACTCTTAGTTTCTTTTTACACAGAAACAAGAAGAGAGATACAAAGGAACCCTATGATCATTGTGTCAAGAAATATGCCAAATATAGTGAGATTCCCCAGGACAGGAAGTGGGCATTTTTTTTTTCCTGGATTGTGGCATGCCAGCATGTTTTCATAGGTTAGGAAGATGCCTTGGTCCATTTACCAGAATATTGTCAACATAGCTTGGCAGGATTTCAGGAAGGAATGTGCAGTGGCCTATTTGAATTGGTCCTGGGACTACAAGCAAAGCATATGCACTTCCCATAGCTACAGCATTAAAACCGCTTGGAATCTAGTTTTGTACCTCTTCTGAAATTTGATCCTTGGCAACACTGCCTAAGAGAACCTTGAGAGTTCCATTCTGAAATCTAACCTGTGTTTGCTTTTAAGCTCATAGAACCCATTCCTAATGAACCTTGCATAGGGTTGATGTTTGCAATGCATTCAAAAGCTGCAGGCAACCTGTACAACTCACCAAGGGGAAAGGGCCCCAATGATAAATTAAAAATCCTCCTGGGCCACAAAGAAATGCCTGGAGTGCCAATCAGCTGCTTTGTGGCTATGTGTTTTGGGGCAGCGACAGCTGTAAATTTACTAGTTTTTAAAAAATGTTGGTGGGCCACACAAGGCTGCTTGGCAGGCTGCATGTGGCCTGCAGGCATACGTTGTGCAGGCCTACTGTATAGTGTGGAAACTCACATCTAAGATGCCATATGTAGCAATCTTTGGCAGTCTGCCATAATTCTGTGACACTAGGCTGAATCTGACAATTGTGGCCATGACCTAAAAATGAGCTGGGCATATATGCAGGCAGACAAGAGCCAGAAACTTGTTAAAAGATGCCTAAAAGAAGGAACCAAGTTGTTAAGTGCTAAGAGACGTGCCAAAGAAATGCCCTCAGAAGACAAAGGGAAGCTGGGTAGCTGCCAAATTTAGGAATAAATGAAAAAAAAAAAGACTTTTAGGTATTAAAAAAGGGGGTCCTGGGGCACACCAGCTCTTTGAATCATTCTGTGTCAGACTTGGCGGCTTCCATTCCTTTGGCTAGTGCCTGGCCAGCTTAGTGGAGTAGGATTTGGGTAAGTGCAGGTGTGAGTGAGAACACATGAGTGTGGGAGCAGTTGAAAAATGCACCACCCACGGATAAGCCAATTGGGAAAAATTAAAATTCAATCTCCTGATGTTATTGCAATGCTCAGTACCTAAACAATTATTTATAAATTATAAATTAATTAAAAATCTGTTTTCTTTTGCTCTATTAACATTTGCAGTCCAAGATCTGAAGTCTGACTGATCATATGGCTCCTTGGCCTTTGCATTATTAAAGGTTTGCCTTAGTTCCCTTCATGTGTAACCAACAAGTAATTTTCTCTGTCATCTGCATACAGTATTTTCAGACACCAAGGGAAATAAGCAGAACAATTCTCTCGACTTTATTGTTTTAAAGACATCATCTGAAAAAAAAATCTAAGCTATACATTCCTAGTTATTAGTTTGTGTTAAGTAAGCTCATATATTGTGTTATGTTGCCAGTTTTGTAATAACAATGTCAAACCATTGGAGAGGCTCAATAATTGTCTTCATTTTCAATATTGGAATCAGTGAGTTCACTGAAGACTTCTGTACTTGTGATCATTTAAAAAATGAAAGTCTGCACAATTTAAAATAGGCACTCATTTCTGAACAATTCATTATTGATTCCATAGACAGATTATTGGAGTAAAACAGGATTTTAAAAAAATATTTTGTCAGTCAAGAAGAATATTAACAAGTTTGAGAAATTTGACAGTTTGCTACAACATAAAAGTCTTTGCATTTTAAGTGTACATGCAGATATCTCAAAATCAAAACAAAAA